ACAGCGTGCTGGCACAGAGACCTGCCAAAGGTCACTGTGAGTGGTGAGAACAGAGGGCATGGCCACCCTGCTCCCCTGCAAACCAGCCCTGCCTGCCAGGAGCAGGGCTGGATCCTCACAGAGCCCACAGCCCCTGCCTGGGCACCCTGTGCAGGCAGAGGAGAAGAAACAGGAACCCTCAGGGAGTGATTCATCGTGCTCTAAAATCCAAGCCTTGTGGGAATGCTTCAAAACACACAAGTTCATTTCCTCCCAAAATGCAGCAAAACTGGATGTGTTTTTTCCTCAACTGCTTCTGTGCTTGCAGATCTCTCAAAAAGTTTAACAGAAAAAAGAAAAACAGGATTCCATACTTTTGATGTAAACCTGTTTTGGCAGGTGAGAGGTGGGAAGGGAGAGGGGATTAACAGGATGGCAGATCCAGTGATGACTGCATCTCAATAGGGCTTTTTCCAGCCCAGGATTACAGGTTCAGTGAGGAGATCTCCTTGCTGCTTTTAGCTGCCACAAATATTTGCATATCCAGGCTAAAATACAGTAGGAAAATTGTTTTGGATGGTTTTGTTTCCACTTCTTCCTCAGCTATTGGAGGTGAGTCAGCAAGGAGACACCACTGTGTGAAAACCAGCTGTGGGGAGAGGCAGGGAGGATGTAGGGATGGGACAGGACTGAGAGGGGAAGGGCATCAGTATCCAGCTATTGGACATCTGCATCCTCACCCCTGGAAAAGCAAAAAAACACCACTGGAGTACAACTCTGCCTGCTGGGTGGTCCAGGAGCTCCCAGCAGGAGCCTGAGTTGCAAATTTAAATACTAAAATTTCTGATAGCCCAAACTATTTACAGAGGAAAAGGCTATTGATGCACATTTGGAAAAAATGTCCTCTTGTCTGCACAACTCTACATTTTTCAATCTAAATTTGGAGTTTTGGCTACTGTGATTTTTCAGGGTATGAGATGTGGGTGGGTATTTTTGTACAAGATAATGTATATCCAGAATGATACAGACTGTTGCTAGAGCCAGAAAGATGTTACAATGTCAGAGTTGTGAGGAGAAGAAAATATGCATTTTAAAGACTATGAAATAGAGAACAACAACACCATCTAAGTGACCTGACCGAGGTTAGAACATGAGTCACTCACAGAGACAACTTGATTCTGTGATCCAAGTCAGAAGCACTTGGAATTCACTCACTGTAAAGAAACCTCAGCAAGGAGGGTCCTGGGGGTTAAAAAAACCAGAATGGAATTATTTACCATGGTCTTTGGGTGCAAACATGGCTTAAATGGACACCCTGGTGTCTCTGAAGCACTTGTTAGCAAGGGAATGCATTTACAGCTGAGCATCAGCAAATAGAACTACAGAAGCACTGGACTATTTAAATGCAATTAATGGATAATTTTTTCCTTCTGTAAGATCTCCCATCCTGCTCTCCAGCCATTGCAAATATTTCTCTGGCAGTGGATACATTGCTGGACTCTACAAACAAATTTTGGCTGGTCTTATTCTTATAAATTCCAAGGATTAGGGGACATAGAGTCAGTTGCTGTTGTATTGTAACATCTCAATTGAAGTCAATGGAACTACAAAACTACACAATAGTCAAGGAATTACCTGAAGACATTAAAAACATCAGCCTGACTCTTGACATAATTCTTGATGTCATGGAATTAAATGAAAGAGAGAATAAGCATTTGTGAGGTCTTGTTATAAAAGATTATCCCACCACCACCTCACACAAGTGACGTGAATTCAGACCGAAGAACCAAAAAACACAGCAGAAAAAGAAAACTCTTGAAATTCATTTTAAACATTCTGATTCTTTCAGCCCGACTTCATGCTTTTAGAGAGCTCTGTGATGACAATACAAACAGTAGCTCATTTCTCAATCAAATTCCACCCACATCAGTGTGTCACACTTGTGCCTGATGAGCAGGGAAGGGGTAGTGGTGGGGTGCTACATACCCAGGGGCATGTAGAGACACAGAAATACAGATATTGCAAGTCTCTTTTCAAGCTTTTTAGTGCCTGCTCTAGTCCTAGATACAGGGCTGGCAGCAAAGCAGATTACCAATATTGTTCATAACAATACTAGAACCTTTTGAAATTTCAGAGGGGAAATGCTTATAACTCACATATTTAATTATGCTTTCTGATATGTCTCTGAAATAAATTCAGTCACTGTGATGATTTCTGTCCTGGCAGTGGGCAAACTGAGGCTGACTGACCTGATCTGCCCCCAGCCACCCTTCTGTGACTGCTGGGACTGAGCTCTGAGCCCCCCTATCCTCACACAGCCACCACTCTGCTCTTTTCCGGGCTGTAATTGCCACATCAGTAACAATGAGAAGATTTTATTTGACTGAAAGGCTGCTCTAAGTGCCCAGCCTGCAGGTTACATCTCACCTGCAGGAACTTAGGGGCTGTACAGACATTCGATTTCATGATTCATTTAAAGCAATACGAAATGTTGCTCTGAAGCTCCCCCCCCCTTCCCCCTTCCCTCTGCACACCCAGAGACTGCACAGTGAAGGGAATTACACTCAGCATGTCAGTGGACAGAGATGGTTTGTAAAAGCTGATAAGCCTCGTTAGGGTTTGCAACTTTGTATGAACTCCAGTGATAAATACTGCGTTCGTGAAATGCCAAATAGTGCTGGAATGTTGGCGTGAGCACGACAGAGATTACAGCTAATGTGGGAGCGTGTAGGTACCCTGTGCAGGAAATTACAGGCATGATGTGCAGCCACTTTCTGGGGGAAGTGGTGGGCTTTGAGGCTGGGGTATTTCCTATGGGACAGGGATCTAATAGAGCTAACAGCTTGGAGTGAAATTAATGAAGTGGGGATGATATGACGAGGATCCTGAATGGGTACAGGAGGAAGAGACAATATTCGTCAATATTTGTTCGTGGCTCTTACTCATGGGTTACCTGCTCTGCTGAGGGTATGAGTTTATATGCATACTCAACTAATGGCTAAAGAGACTCCTCTTTCCTTCATTTTAACAAAGAAATTACAACTCACATCAAGAGCAAACTTTCAAATTGTCTTCCTTTCTTTTTTTTCCCTTCATGATCAAAAGGAATTTCAGAATGATGTCCCGCACTCAGATGAAAGCAAAGTTTGATGTTCTGAAGTGGTAAACTTTTCTGCTTTGACCTGCACGATTGAGATGAAGGAGAAATTTGTCTGTAGTAATTAACATGACAAATAACTGTGAATGGGAACTTGCTGTTCTGAATGACAGCGTTGTCTTCTGCTTCAGGGTGAGAAACCCAGGGCCAGGATCCTGGGGATCTATCCCTTGCTTCCATCTGACTCTTAACAGGTTTGAAAATCTCTGTCTCTCACCTGATGGAGACAAGAATGGAGGGTGGCGTCCTGCAGGAGCACAGCAGCTTTGGATGCATCCTGCTACATGCTGCAAGATATTGCGGGGGTGGAGGGGAGAGGAGCTGATTGCCCAGAAAAAGAATAATCACCAGTGATTAAAGGTATTTCATGAGCCCTGCCTTTCATGCTGACAGTTCTGCTATAATCATTCCCAGCATACTGCTCTGCTTCTGTGCGTATTCATCTGTTGCCAATTGCCTTGTAGTTACTTTGTGAGCGTGTTAGTTGGGGACTCTTCTGTTGTTCTTTGTTTTCACAGCCCTCAAACACACAAGGGATGCTATGAGTAGGATCCTGGATGCTTTGAGGCACCTAATAAATAATTGTTAGCATCTTAATATCCAAACTATGCTTTGCAGTATCAGGAAGCCTGTACAGCAAGCAGATAACTGATATTAGCTAATTGTTATTGAGTGGCTTTCAGGCAATAGATCACGGAGGTTTTTCTTTGTTTTCAAGTGGGATGCTTTTTACCTTTTTTTTTTTAATTACACTATGAAAATGCAATGCATTTCATCACTAATTTGATAGTAGATGGCTCCAGCAGAGAATCCTAAAACTTTCCAAGTCACAGAAAGAGATAGAATTGGGTTAAGCTGTATTATCAGTGTGGAGGGGGACACGTCCTGCTGTCTATGCTACTCTGCGCAAGGCAGTTGTATCTCCAGGCATATCATTTTGGCTTTGCTCATCAGATCAGCATTATCTACAGGAGACACTCCTCAGAAACGCAGCAGTCCTCACCTCATCCATTTCTCCTTTCTGCTGGCTCGTGCCTGGTGGGAAGCGAGCAGCTCCTGAAACCCTGCCCCAAGCTGCTGGTAGCAGTCTGTGTGGGAGGGGAGCAGAATCATCCTCACCCTTCCCAATTAAAACTTCATCACCAGCACCAAGATAACAATGCGACAGAAAAAACACTGAATGCTGTTCTCACTGGTAACCGACATGACCTCCCAGCTCAAAAAACCCAGTGCCCTCTTCTTCTGCTGCCATTCCCCTGCAGCCTCACCCACGGCGCCCATCAAACAATCAGGCACAGACCCCATCTGTCAGCACGGGGTCTGCAGTTCATGGAATCTGCCCGACCGTGGTGTTCTATTACTGAGACTCTCTGTAAACAGAGGTGCTTTGAATGACTTGTCGTCTCTTACAAATTGCACGGGGAGAATGAAGGCTACGGGACTGAGTGACATAATTGTAAGACAAAAATTACAAAGGCTCTTCTTTCACTTACCCTGGCAGTCTTAGAACTGAGCTAGACTTTCACACGCAGTGCCAGGGCCGATCAAAGCAGCCTTGAAAAGTTTTTTTTTGCTTGCTGGGGTTTTTTTTGTTTTGGCTTTTTTTTGGGTTTTTGGTAGTTTTTTTTTTTTTTTATAAATAAAATAAATTTGCATCAAGGTTGCTTTGTACATCACAGTTCTGTGTATTGTGATGGCCAAGTGCTCCCCTTCCAATGGCAGTTGCTAATCATGATGTTTACCATGAAGCTTGACAAAATACAAACTCTTGACATTATATTCTGTGTTTTGTTTGTATTTTGTGTCTGTATCTTCCACCCCTTTCTTCATCTCATCCTTTAAACAAAATCCACAGTACCTTGAGGCTCACATCTGAAGGTCCTGGGGAAACCTCTGCTCTCATATTCAGTCAAACCAGTCACATCCTGCTGAAGAAGCTCTTCTGTATCCCAGTCCTGTCCCTGGGAAGCAAAGGTCATGGTTAGACTAAGTGTCCAGATGTCAGAACAAAGGGACCACATTTGTTTAATGGATTATGGAGTCCAGAGAGATATTTGGGATCTAGTGATACTTCCAGTGGGTCCATGTATTTATCATGTTTTCCATCTAAACAACATAGAGTCTAGCTAGATGCCATTGTGATGGGTGACTGATAGTTGTGTGTAATAAATAAATTTTAAAAATCAGAAATCAGTTCCATTATCAAAAAATGAGTCTGGCTTCCAGGATGCTTTTTGTGCCCCTATATGTAATGCTGTAAAAACTTTTTTTGCTAGCATGAGAAAGATTTGAGACTTTTGTAAAGTAGAAATCAGCACCACCAAAGGCTTAATTATATAATGTAACATTCTCGAAGCCCTCACATTAGCTCACTGATGCTTAGTGAAAAAAGCATTACCTAGCAACAGACACTTACAAATCACAGGAAAAGTAATGGAGATTATATGCTATACCACACCATAGAGTCAAAATTGTTAGCAGGATGTGCTTGCCCTTTCATTTCATGTGGAAAAATCCATTGTTTACAGGTGTGAGGGTGTAAGGGATGCACTTCAGGAGGGAAACAGGCCTGTTTATCCATCATTAAAAAGTAATCTTTAAACGAAGCCCAAAGATGGAGCGAGACACATTAACGTGGTCAGAGAAAACAAACTACAACACAGACACTAGAAAAATTACCTCTAGTATTCTTTCTCTTCAAAGAAATTGCTCTTCATATGTCATTCATTCTCAAGTGCTTAATTAAAACAATGTACCCATTTTTAAGTGCTGTCAGGCTTGAGTTCCCCAGCACCAGTGTCCTGCCTGTGACTCAGACAAGTTACTCACATCAAGGTGTTCAGCAGTTCCTCAACCACCAAGATTTGGTGGGCATTGACTCTGTACTTTGTTTCCATCCCACTTCTGTGCACCACTGTGGCAAAAACTCTTAGAAACTGCAGGAGAAATACATTGGTATTTAAGAGACAGAGTTATTAGAACCAGCTCCATATTGCAAATGCAGCTAGCAAAGAGAGAGCTGGGTTTTATTCCGAATTATGCTTTGTTAACAAGTTGTTAACTAAGTTCTCACTCCAGAATATTTAGAGCCAGCTAAATAATATGTGTCAAATCATTGATCTGACAAGTTTCACAACTTTTTTTTTTCCACTTTAAATTTCAAATATCTATTCAAAAAATAGCATGTTCAGTTTTTTCGCTCAGTTTTAATTACTGGCGACAGCAGGGGAGGGAGAAAGAACAAAGCTGAATGCACAGATCCCAGAGGGAGTTTGCCATCTCTGACCATTAGGGGAAAAGAGAAAAAACAGGATCTTTTCACTTGGAAACTGAGCCCACTTAGTGTGGAGGTCCTGGGAAGAGAGGAAACACAGAGTCCTCCCAGTGGAAGAATCCTCCTTTGCTGTTGCTCTGCTGATCATTCCTGTAGGCGGCTGCTATGGCACAAAACCTGGTACAACAGCACTCTTGGACTGAGGCAGGAGTTCTGCAAGGGTGCAATGTTTGCTGAGTTGGGAATTATACAGCTGGCACTGGGGACAAAGGGAAAAGTTACAGCACAGAGCTCTGCTCATTATACAGAAAACTGTTCAGAGACAGGTGGCTTCAAAGGATTGTGATTCTGAGGGATGAAACTTTGCCTTTTGCATGTGTGTGTGTGTGTGTGTGTGTGCAGGCACTACACATCGATGGAGATTTGCCTCAAAAAGCAACAGAAGTGTTTCTGGCTTCCCTGGGCAGTGCTCAGGCAGTCAGCTGTGGCTCAGAGCAGGAATGTGTGAGGAGAGACCCCCGTCTCCCCTCATCTCACTCACCAGTCCAGGATCTTGATGATGATGTCAAAAGCAATGTCCATGAGACTGCACTGGAGATTATGCTTTGGGACTCCTCTCATATCACAGAGGGAGTAGCAGGATTTTTATCTGGACCTGAGAAATAAACATGTATTTTCTAAGTGAAATACCTCAATCTATCTTGCTTAATACAACTAACAGCCCATCAGTGGGCACAGACCATTAGCAGATCCAGCTGGAGAGAAGCATAGGCAAGGCCATAACTTGCATATCAGTAAAGTCTTGTGCTCTGTGACAATCTTCTTTTCCACTTTTGGAGATCTCAGACCAAACAGGAGTGCTGTGGATATGAGGCTGCTCAGTGCATGTTCAAGTAGCACAACTGGATTCCTAGCAGCTCCAGTAATTATCAGGTATACACCAAAGAGCCAATCAAGCACCCAAAAGGACAGGCTGCCCTCTGCTCCCCCCGGGTGCAGCTGGCTCCTTATTTCAAGCACAATCTTAAATTACAAGGAAAAAGGATTTGCTGCAGAAGCAATGTTGTTTGGTATCAAAAAAGATTCCTCCTTCCTTCTGCCACCTCCCCCCATCTGCTTTTCATGTTTTATACAAAACTTGCTGCTCTGAACACTCCTGGATTTTCTCCCCTTCTAATAATAAAGAAGCGAATCTGATGTCTCCCACTGATGGCTTTCTAACCTTCAAAAGCATGTGTTTATCATGAGTTTCAGCTATCCAAAATAGTTTTGACCTGAGGTTACCATGCAGGCTCAGCCTGCTTCGAAGCGGGTTAAATGGATGATAAGCAAACATTTCATTACAGACCCTTAGTTGTTGTAAGGATGTGCAAATCCCTGAGAAAGATTTTCAGCATATCCTCCTGAGCAGTGTGGGGCTTTGGACCTGGGAGGTTCACTCAATCAGAGCCCTGCTGTCACTTTGCAAATATCTCCGCTGACTGTGCCCTGCATCATCACTTTGTGAGGCCCTGGGTGAGCCACAGGGCTGGCGAGAGATTCCTCCCACCTGATGCACTGTGAGGGATGAGATTTTTAAGTCTTAATTGAAAACACTCTTTTTTTTTTTTTTTTTGCTATCCTGTCTCTTCTCTGGTTTCTGTCTGAACAGAGGAGTGTGGAGAGGTACTGATGGAAAGTTGGGTGGCCCTGGGGGAGATCAGTCCTCCTCCCAGCCCCTGCCTGCTGCCTCATGTCTCAGAGCCACAAGCATCCAGCAGTTCCAAACCGCCTGCAAAACTATTTTTGAGCAGCACTATTGCTGGGCTACCTGTGTCAAATGAAAACAGTCCAGTGTGGACATCACACAGCGTCACCCCACCAGAAGGCAAACCAGCACTGCTCAGAAAGCAGTGCTTTATTCTGCATCTTCCTCAAAATAAAAGACATGGCAGCCCTAGTGGCTAAGCACACCCCAATCCCAGAAAGGCACATCTACAAAGCACCAGGTACTTTGTCTCTCTCAGCTCTTTCTCCTTTCTTCTTTAACCCACACAACAGCAGCCCTTTATGAGTCACCATTTGCTTTAATCCTGAGCAGGATTCGCAGCCCCAGCTCTCCAGCCAAGGATTGTGCCCCATTTTCTTTATTCCTGTCTCTCTTCTGTACCCATCCAGCTAAAATGTTCTCAGTGCAAGAGCCTGATTAAGGACAGAGAAAGGTGAAGCCTGGGAGAGAACTCGCAGTGTGCACCCAGAGTGGGCACATCTCGTGTCTCTGGTTCCAGCAGCACAGGGGATGGAGGAGTGCAGGGCACCGTGTGCTTGCTCCATGTGCTCCAGGTTCATCATCCAGCCAGTGGATTGCTGTTCTCAGTTAAATTTCTGATAAATGCCTGAAGAATATTGCACTGCTTGGGATGCAGCTTCCCACATCTGTAATTCCAGCCTGACTGCACCAAGGAAATCAGTACCTCTGCTCCGAAACTCCATGAGTGACAAGCTGACGTAGCTGTCCTCAACTGGTCTCCAGAATTATTTTCCTTCAGTCCCAATCATTCCTGGTGTTGGGCTGCACACAGCAGTGTTCAGTACAGCCCCCTATTTCTATGGTATCTGGGATTAGCATGGATTTACCTATTTTTTTAAAGAAAATTGTGCAGGAATACGTCTAATTATGCTTTGCTAAGTATGAAATGTCCTTCTATTTAGCAGATGCTTGGGCCCTACTTTGACCTAACACTGAGTGTTTCAAGTAAACTGCCAGCAGCCCCGTCAAACTGTTGTGGGTAATTTGGAGTATGAAATGTGTTAAATTATTCAAAGAGCTGAATAAGCATAAACAGGCAGTACAACAGGAGAGATATGCATACCCAGCGATGCTGGTGTGACATTTAATACATCATATTAGCACTCCTGTTAGTACAAAGAGCTGGATGCCTAGCACAGCAGCTTGCAAATTCACAGGCAGAGCACAGCCTAGCTGCATTTTGCCCCCCATATAGCCTTCCTCCAATGGTTTTCCTTTAAAAAGCAAAATACTGCTTGTCTATAACCAAAGGTGAAAGTTGGGAAGCGAAATTTGATTTCTTCCTGAAGTGCAAAGCGCATGAGGTCCATCTATCCCACCTCTGCTTCATGCTGGTGGCAACACCCTGCTGAGACCAACTGTCTGATTTAGAACAGTGGTGCAAAAACAACCAGAATAAGGCTCAAAATTCTCTGATGCTGGAAAGTGGACCCAGCACAGACAAACTCTGCTTAGTAATAGAGCTGAAGCAGCAGAGGACACACACAGGATCACAACACATGTCCAGCTCAGAAATACATATAAAACCCCATGTCCTACTAAAAGCTGACACTAATTCAACACAAACCCCCCCCTTTTACCTACAGTGGAAGCAGTCCATTATTTCTTATCCTTCAAAACAAAGAGTGTTTTCAGGTTATGGAGTATTTCTGAGTTCTCAAGAGATTACACTTCAGGGGATGAATGAGATGCTTCTGTAGTCAGGCTTTCGTGATGGTGAGCAGCAAGGGGGAGGTGATTCTACTTTGAAAGCTTTTTCCCATTTTCAGAAAAGAAAAAAAAAATCCAGCCTGTACTATGGAGAAGTTTGGGCCTGGCAACCCAATCTTTACTGCTTGGTTTGTCAATGAAAATAAAAATAAAACTTAAAAAAAAAATCCATACAGCCAACTTGTAACAAATAAATGGAATGATCTCTCCTGAGAGCAGATGGAAGCCCCAGTGATGGAGGTAAAGTAGCCTGGACAAAGCACTCATGGATGTGAAAATACTGTCAGCAGCATGCCTGGATCAGCAAGGGATGGAGTAGCTGACCTTAAAGACCTTTCCTTTTCTTTTCATTTTCCCCCTTTTTTCATTTTCCTCCCTACAGTTTTAAGTTAGGGGCTGTGGGGCAGCAGAAATCCCTTGTGCTGGGGGAAATTCTGATTTTAAGTGGTTCTGGAGATAGTTTGCTGACTAGCATAGAGCCCCCAGTTTTTGATATTTGATAAAATTTGATATTAACATTCTCTTAGAAGGTGAGAAGAGACATTGGTACATTTTTTTTTTTCACACTTCTTTGGGACAAATACATTTCAGGGTGTCTCTTGGCTTTCCTCTTCCTAGCTTCCAAACTCCATTTAGTGATAACTTGGTATTGATGAGTTTTATTTCATGAAAAATGTTTACTAGCTTTGCTATCATGAGTGCTGAGTGATACTAAAAGGAGCATAGCTCAGTTTTTAGATGGTGAAGGGGAGCTTCTAATATAGGCACTTGGAAAAAGTCCATTTGAATTTATAATCTGAGCCAATTTTCATTCCTTTTGGAGTAAACCACAGAAAAAATATTAAATGTCAACTTGCCAAAAACATGACCTCTGCCTATAAACACAATGGAGACGGACAAACATTGTGTGGGGAAATGTCAATTCAAATTCAAATCTTAATATAAATTTGGGGTTTGCAAATACTTTGAGACATACAAGTTGGCTGTTTCCCTAGGAAAACGTATCAATTATTTAGGAGTGTTTGTGAGAAGCCAGCTTAAATTCCTAACAAGACTATCAGTTCAAGAAATATGAATCTAAGCATCAACTTCACAGAGTCAGGCAACAAAACCAAACCAATCTCTGGATCCAAACTGAACCAACATCTAGAACTACCTACTCAAATTATGTGAGAACCATTTGAAATTATGAGTTGATACAAAGAGTTTTTTGCCTTCTCATAAATATCTCAAAAGCAAAAAGGGTGGGGGAGGAAAGCCTGCATTCTCCATTTCCCCTGTTGCTTACACCAGTCTTTCTGATTTAGGGAGGATCACTTCTCTGAGCCAGCTCCTCTTCCTCATAAGGCAGCTGGGAAGAGGGAAACGTAGGCTGAGTCTATATTTGTATATCTGTTTGGATTAGAAATGTGCTTTTATCTCCCAGTCACCCCCACAGTCTGCACTGTGGTGCGTGTTACACAAGGTCAGATAAAAATAACAAAACTTGAGCCCAAACTGTTGAAGGAAATTCATTTTATGGGACCATAGTGGAGGAGGCAAAAAACAAATCATCCCCAAAATATGTATAGCACAGAAATCAGACCCACAGCATCAGCTAAGGCCCTCCCTGGAGCAGCTCATAAGGCGATGGATGATTTATTGATATTGATGCCATCACACAGGAGGCAAAACCATCTGGGGAAGAACTGGGAAAGGCAGCGAGACCATCAAGGGCCAGTTGACATAGCTTGGGAGCCAAAAGTGAACTCCAAGGTTCATCCACTTCCCAGCACCTCAGCAATAAAAATAAATCCTATTAACTTCCATCACAATTGAATTCTTGTTCAACTCTGCCACAGTAGCCAACTCTTATTAGAGAGAGGGCACATCAAGAGCCTGCGCTTAATCCCTGCTCCCAACTCTGCATCTCTCACTACCAGAGGATGTCTCTACCCATCGACATCCTCTGGTACTGAGAGACTCAACAGGCTTGTGAGATCCTGGAAATTGGTTCAAAGAGGCTGGAGAACACTTTTCTGAACCTAGCTGCCTGCACACGGGAGCTGAGTCCCTTTCCCTTGCTGACTTCACGTGCAACAAAACCACTGCGTAAAGCGCAAAGTATTTATTAAGAAATAAGTAAGTGCAGATTAGTTCCTTCTAAACGTTTTAAGCTACCCATTGAACCAGATCTGGTAATAAAAGCTAATGCCAAAACACTTGAAAAACCTCATTAACAAAGAAAAAAATAACTTTAATGGTCATTGCTATGTTTTAAATTAGAAGAATTGAGAGGGTGAGGAGAGATTGCTTTGAAGTGCCTTCATCCTCCAAGGAATATTTCTATTGTTGTAGTTTTTTGCTGATGTTCATTCTTACAAGCCCAGCTATTTTGTGAGTCACCTGGAACTGGTTTCAAAATTCAAATATTACAGTCTAGAAGTCTTATTTCATGTAACTTCACTGACTTCTACAACTCTGCAGGGCTTTGTTTTGGCTTGGGTTTTTTCTTCATTTTTGGTATATGTGTGTGTTATTTTTCAAAAAAGTTCTTCCTGCAAAGTACGCCCTCAAAGCAAAAGCCTCCACCCTTATTTTTTTCCCTCTTAGATATTAGACTATTTGTGTCATTCTTGTGCATGATACATAAAATATGATCAAAGAGAAGTCACAGAGCTTAAAAAAAAGTTAACTTTCTCTTTTCTGCCTGCTTTACTTATGTAGTAGATTTTGCAGTTTCTCTGCAATAGCCAAGCAGCACTTACTGTTTTCTTTACTTTCCAATTGCTGATATCAGTGATGCCTTCATACACACTTCATCTAGCCTAGAAGAGTGCAAGAAGAGCCAAAGCTGAAAAAAAAATACTGAAAGCTTTCATAACAGCCTTTATCCAGCAAGTTTCAAAGAGGGCTCATTTTGCACTTTCCCTGTGTTTAATGAAAACAATTTCAAAGTTGAATTGTCCTCAAGCACTTTCAGTTTTGTTTTCTTCCTCTCATTCTCCTTTCTTGTTCCCCATCACTGAATGTACTCAATAGCAGTAGAAAGCCAAAATACTCAATCATTGTGCCCTTTCAATGGGCCATAATGCTACTAAGGCTGCATAGAGTATTAGGCAATACAGTGTGAATAAAACTCTCTTTTTATATAATAATCTGGATTTTACAGGTCATTCCTGAGAAAACAGTACACTCATCTGTGCAAGTTTTCCACAGGAGCATACAGAGCTGTTACCATTTGCCAGAACTTTCTCATTTTAGTCCTAGAACTGTCACTGTCAAACCAATCCTGTGTCTCTAAATGACTGAGAGGTAGCAAGAATCCATACTGAAAGCTCTCCAGGGCCTTTATCAGGTTTGTGTGTTTGTAACAGCACATCTATCTAATCTGCAATGGTCTGCTCACTTAAGAAACACTAACTGGTGGAGATGAGCACAGGTTTCCAGTTCCTTACCTGCAGGGCAGTGGTTAGGTGGTTGATAGGCAAGATGACCTCAGGTTGTGGCCAACTCTGTCCTGTTATTCTGGGTGCTCACATAAATGTCTGAAGTTGTACATGTCATATTAGCAGCCACCTGAAGGCTGGATGTGCTATCCATTCTGCTCTTCCACAGGAATGGGGGAGAAAGCAGTGGGAATACATCCAGGGCTTTCAGCAAGTGCTAAGGGGAAAGAGAAGAACAAAGTGAGCAACACAGTGACTTCTTTAATAGATTTTCATGCATTAAATCAGCTTGCCCTCAAGAGCCAAGAATAGAAAATGAGTCCATGAGCATCATGCAGAAAGAGTGCAGGTCAGCTGAAGGGATTCTTGATAATTTTAAAGATATTTTGTATAGCCTATTTAGATTATTTAAGAGTTTTCACCAAAGCAAACGAGCTGCCTTACCTGATGTGTGATGGTTCCAGATTCTTCACTTTTCCTCTGTCCACCCATTCATCCATCCCATCTGTCATGGCAGTGTGGCTGTGTCAGACCACTTCAACATCCAATGGAAAGTTGTTGAATACAGAAAAAAATACAAAATCAGGACAATCAGGGTAAACTGGGACCCCTGAATCCAGTCATTAAAAGATTTTGTGTTGCTTTCAAGCCCAGGGCAGAGTTATATATTTTTTCTGCTATAATCTGGCCAGGGTCACATCAGGCTCTGGTGGCACTTCAGAAGCATCACACCACAAATGGGTGACCCTGAAGTGATGCAGCCTCATGCCTGGGTGCAAGGAAGAGAGTGGATCTGACTTTAGGGTTTTGCAGCTTTGACACTTAGAGCAACCCCCACTCTATTAGGAAATGAAAGTTCACCTACAAGAAGACACACCCCACACTTAATATACCAAGTGTCTGCTTTCCTAATCAAAATTAAAAAGTACTTGTGATTAATTTGGAAAAGTAGTGTCAGGCAGGTGACTGTGGCATCTGCTTGACATATTTCCCATTCCTTTTCTATCACATGATGAAGACTCTCTGCACTAGTAAAGCAAGGTATTATAAATTCAATATCCAAATTTTCCACCACGCCAGCGATTGTTTTAAGCCTGCTTCTTGTGCCTTTTATCTCTCTTACAAATCTTGAAGGGAATCGGATTCATCATTACACAAATGGCCTTTATTTCTGGCTGTTAAAAACCTGATGATGAGCAACATTTCCAAGGAAGAAAAAGCAGTCAATTTCCGAAGCATGTGCAGAGTTAATGTCTGCAGTAATTGCGACTAAGTACGGTAGAGCAGAGATGCTCTGCCAGCTGGAGCCAGGGATTAAAAAGGAAACATCTGTGCTGAGATTATAGGAACAGAGGAAGCTGTGGGAAGGAAGGAAGCGAGAATGCCCATGTAGGTCCACCTACCTCATTTGAACTTCTCCTTTTCCCCGTGGTTTTGTTTTCCCCTCACTAAATTCTACGTATTTGCCACCATGAGTGCAAAGAAAAGCCTGTCTGATTTCTATGCTGTTTGACCTTTCCTTTAGACCATCCTCATGGCCACCCTTCTTACCAGAATGAGCCTTAAGAGCAGGAGTTGGGCATAGCCTTAAAAATGAGCATTTTCTAAAGTGATGTGCTGAGCAAGGACACCTTTGAGCTTTATGACTTGAGATAAAATTCTGGGCCTCAACCAACAAACTACTTATAAAGAAACTAACTTTAGGCAGATAAGAAATTCCCTTAGTCTCAGTGGGACTATGCAAAAAACTTAAATTTACATGAATTTAATTATGCAGCTAGACTAGGAGCTACACAAGCAGGAAAACTACAGTCCAATAGCAAAGTATTCCCATTATATCAGAACCAAAATGCATCATTGTAGATATTAAATACTGACTGTATGCTTAATTCTGCATCCAATAAAACATGCTGAATGTAATGAAAATCATGATTTTTTCAGGTGTCAAAATTTTAAAACCTTTCCTACCTTTAGGAATTTTTACCCCTGCATTCTTACTTAAATAGTGAATGAAAGCTACAGGAGATGCATTCCAACAAAATAATAAAAAACTCTGGTGGCTCGATAATGTGTTAAAGAATATGAGACATACTTAAAAGCAAGGAGAAATTTCTATACATGCACAGACACACATTTAGCTAGTCAGCTTAAATTCTAATGAAATATTTTATGTTGCTTTTATCCCTCCCAGTACTGAAGATTTACAAGTTTGCAGAAATTGCCCTTCGTACAGGAAGGTCAAAAAGAGATTAGAGAACTCTTCACATTCACAATATTTTGTTTTTATTTTTATTTCTACTCCAATTGCCTTTGAACTCGTGTTCCTCTGGTGAGGTGAAAACTCAGGAGTGAAGGAATTGAAGGTGGGGAGGAGGAGGGAGGAGAGGAGGAAGAAAAGCTAGAAGGGAATTACTCCTTTCAAAAATAAATCAATCAATAGAAAAAGCACAGAAGTATTACTTTAAAAAAAAAATAAAATTCCCAGAGCCAGCGCACACACTCCATTTCTACTAATTGGATTGTGATGTGTTTGCCTTTAATATGTGCAGCCAGCCCCTATGCCCTGCCTTGTGCACATGTCATGTCCTTTCAGCATCAGCAGCCACTGGCCTGATTCTCAGTCCTTGATAACATGTTCCCAAGCAGTATCGTGTGACGAGGGGGAACGCACAGGGAGAGCAGCCAGGGCCTGCACGAGCCATTGGTGGCCCTGTTGAAATGCTGCAGACAATTCTCTCCTCATTGCTGACCCTTCCGTTTGATTCCAATCCTTTGTTTCTCATTGATGTGTCCAGGAAAGGCCACACTGGCCATAAAACAAAAGGATGGGTTCGAGCAGGGCTTTTCCTTAATCTGCTCTTCTCATTTCTCCCTCACCCTGCTTTCAGCACATTTTCAATATCATTAGTTTCTCCGAGTGTTTGCATTTTGCTGTTCTTACTTAGAAAGGGAGGAGCTGTCAGAGACCACAAAAATGGTTTTGGGTTCAAACCACAGAAGTTCAAGATGCTGCAATAGCATTGATGAAATCCTAAAAGACAGTGGAGCTAGGGAGGAGCATGATGGGCAAGGAGAGGACACTTGCTTGCTCATCCTCTCTCAGACCAAGTTCCCTCTTGCTACTACACCTTTACACACAATATTTTATCTACCTACTTTAAGCAATTTGCTGAAATAACTTGCAAAGGTCTCCTTTGCCTACCTGGTGGGACAACACATCCTCCACAGAGGAGCCCTCTGTGTTACATGTGGGCCAGAAAAATCAGAAGAAATTTATGAGCTGCACTGCCATAATATTTTCTTTTCTTTTCACTCACTGACTCTGTAAAAGGCATTATAGAAAGCTTTAGATGCAAGTATTTTGCCAGTTCCTTGAGGAGAGAAGCAGGTCAGCCATTTAACTCTACTGCTCTTTTAGTGAGATTGCCCAGATAGGACATTCAAAATAAAGGATTTTGAAAATAATTCGATTTCACCATCTCTAAAAGTGAAATACACTTGAATAACATTGACCTTCTGCACAGGTTAAATGTCAGATTAAAACCTACATGGACTTTTTGAGTGGCATGTGAGCAGAAATCAGACAAGACCCAGACACCACAGAACAGACTTTGCACTTATTCTGGGACCACATCTGAGTGCTTGATCATTTTGCCTGATTTTTTCCATTTGATTTATAAAAAGAGAGCAGCGAAGTTGGGCTGGGATACATCAGACTGCAAATTACTCCGGACTTCGAGGTCTCACTGGTTGGCTCTCCAGGGCTTATCTGAACTAAGTGCACATTGGGTTTGCTCAATGGAACCTTCTCCTAAATGCAGTTTCCCACCAGGTTCCTGATGTGTCCACACTGGTGTGAATAAGAGATACCTTCTGGTTCAGTGGAGATACAAGTGTGCCTGCAAAGTTACTCAGCCAACCTCTCCAGTGTTTACTTGCTGCTTTAAAGTGAACTAGAGCACTTTTGGACTCGTTCTTTCCTGAAATCTGAGATCCTGAGTGATGGTTTGCCTAGACATCAGCCCTTGAATATCCTGAAAAACAGTTAATAAAAGCAAAACTTCATCCAGCAGGGACCAAAAGAGAATTCAGATTCACAAATCCAAACTAGAAAAGCAAGAATACTGCCTTTCTTATTAAAGTCATAACAAATACCAAACTCTGTATATTCCATCTCCTATAAAAAGGCTTTATGGCACTATTCCTTGTCACTCAGGTGATGGTGTGCAGTGGGGTAACACAGAGATCATCCTGCCTTTCTGTTTTGGATCCTCAACTATCCCAGATCACCAGCTAGGTGACAGGCACTTGCCCTTAGCATCTCTCACTGTGTCACCTGTTAAAAACAAAAGTCCAGCAGCAGCAGCTTTAAAATTTTGTGAAAAGAAATCTTATGGTTGATCCTATAAAAACAGATCCAGAATTTTAACCTGTACCTTTCACCACTTTATATAGCTGAGCCATTTGTTTCCTTACTGCTCTGACCATTTCTTTGGGCAAGAGCAGGTAATCCAAAGCCTTCAACTAATGACAGACACTACAGAGAAGAAAAGAGCACCAGCATGGACCATCTCAGAGAAAACCTATGCAAACTTGAAATATCCTTGGAAAAGGGGAAATAAGGTAGCATATGGGAATTGAGCTTTACTCACTTTCCTTAAAGAAATATTAGTAGCAATAAAAACCCAAAACTATTGAGAGCTCCAGAAAAGAAAAAAACAGAAATCCAAAACCAAACCGAAATAAAAACAAAACAAAACAAAAAACAAAACAAAAAAAAACCCCACAAAAAAACCCCCAAAACAAACTATATCCTTAAACTACTAAGGATTCTGGCTGATGCAGCTCAGTTCCCCCCTTGGCCTGTGTTTGATTAGCAGATGTGCACATCCTGACCTCTGAAACCTCTCCTGCACCCTAACTGTGTGTCCCTCCATGCTCCATCTCAGCTCTGCTGCTGTTTCAGTGGCACTGGCACAAGCTGCTGACAATCCCTGTACCTGCAAGCTGAGCCTGTGCCATGCACCAGCCAGTTGTGCAGCTTACCAGCGTGTTACTGCAAGCAAAACCCTGTAATGTAGCAGCTTGGCAAGGGAATAGTTTCCCTTTTATCTCTTATTAAAGGGGATCAGGTGTTTGCCCATGAGAACTGCACTCTAAGCGACATGATTCTTTTTTTTTTTTTTCCCCTGGAATATGCCCATAAACTAGATATGTGTCTGTTTAAATAAGCATAAAATTATGGGTATCCTGCAGCAAAAATGAGACAGCAGCGTTCAGGAGTAATGTGGATAAAAAAGCTCATTCTTTTCCCCTTCCATGACTTTGGGGGTGAACTTTGAGCCTATGGAGAATTTTCAAGGACACAGAAGAAGGGTCCCTTCAGCTGACAAAGCCTTTTTAGAGTAAGCTTTTCAATGTATTTGATTGAGAAGCAGCAGTATAAAAGCTGTGGGCTGTATTTATGTGCACAGATAATCCTCAGCGTGCTGGCAGCTCGCTGTGTTGAGGAGCAGCGTCTCCCTCAGGTCTGCCAC